TTCATACATTGAAGTCCTAACATCCTGTGTGGCTGTATTTGGAGGCAGGGCCTCTAAGGAGGTAATTAAGGTTAAATGAGGTCATAAGGGTAGGGCCCTCATGGACAGAACTGGATAAGAAAGAAGAGGAACAGACACCAGGAGTGCACATGCTCAGAGGAAAGGCCATATGAGGACACAGTGAGAAAGCAGCTCTCTGCAAGCCAAGGAGAGAGGCTCAGTAAAAACCAACCCTGTGGGCATCTTGATCTCTGATTTCCAGCCTCCAGAATGGTGAGAAAATAAATTTTATTATTTAAGCCACCCAGTCTGTGGCATTTTGTCACGGCAGCCAGAGCAGACTAACACACCATATAAGGTACTTAGCACAGAAATAACCATATTATCAGGTGTACAATATATATAACCTTTTTTTCTCTTAGAAACCAGATTATTGTCCCAATGGTTTGTTAAGGTTATTTATGTAGTCCTAGTGATGGGTTTGTGCTAATCCAGTTCTATTCTCTCCTGGTTGTCCTCATGATCAGTGATATTTGTAGTATTTCCAGCCAAGGTTAAAACAATGTGCTGCCATACTGCATCGAACTCATGATTTGTCACGCTCATCATTTTGCCTGTCAGAGGTGCCAAGAGACAGATCTGTTGTGAAGAGGTAAAATTGTCATTGACATCAATTCCAAAACAACAGTTCCTCTATTTTGGTATTCACCCTTGAATTTCCCTAGTATTTTAATCTGCTATATTTTCTGTATCTCTGTGGGTACATCATTAGTTTACTACCCATGGAGCAAGAGTGCTTGTTAATTTTTCTCTTATAATTCTGATTTCAAGGATTGTCTCTTAGTTCTACTACCTGTGACTTAGGAGGTTCAAATCTATCATCACCCTAAATTTTGCAGTTTCCTTTTTCTGGAATTCCTCTAAGTTCTGTTCTTTTTCCTTTGGTCCAAACCAGAAGAGCTGCACTTTATGGTGAAGTCATCCTATGATTCTATACAAGGGCAGAAAAGTGCTGATATCTTATGTTTTGTCTCCAGTGCCTTTTCTAATGGAGGTGGTTGTTTAGGTAAAGTCAAAGCATAAAGCTGGTCTGGGAAGAGGGAGGGACATGTGGGAGAGGGTTTCTTCACATCCTTCTGGGGCCAGATGCTGGGGGGCAGTGGCTAAGTGGTTTGCATCCCCTCTACCACCCGCGGCTGGGAAATCAGACACACATGACTGGTCCTGAAGAGGGACTTCAAGCAGAGCACAGGACCTTCAGGACAAACAGAACAAGTCCCACAAAGCCTGACGGAAGTGTGTCCCATTCCCAGAGCTCCACCCCATCGGTGTGAATCCTGCAGGTCTCATGGTCTTGGTGTTCCCTGAGCCTTCCTCTATAAATCTAGGGGGATCTAATCTCAGTCTACGGATAAGACCAAGGTCAAGAAGCAGCTCCTCACCAATGAGAAAGAGAGAAGCTGTTGGGGAATCTAGCCTCCTGGGTAAAAGGTGCAAGTCACAAAATTTGAGAACTAGTGCATGGTTATGTTTCTAATTGTTCCTTCTGCAAGGAAAGGACACCAAGCTAATGACTGGGACCTGGAAGTACTCAGGTGGCTCTGGTACTTTTGTAAAAACAACACAATTTTTTAGATAGAATCAGTCACAGGCTTCCTCCCTGCCCCAGCGCCTTAGCAAACATTTCTATAGAATTCAACCAACATGCTCGGGTGCACCCACTTACTGATGTGATTGCAATGCAGGTTGTACTGTTCGGTTCCTTTTTGTCTTCAGTCAGTCCCAACATTTTCATGTTAAAAAGGATAAGGAAATACATCTTGAACAAACAAATCCTGTTCTAACTTGTCTAAACCTGACCAAACAAAATATGCAACCCTAATGTTTTGTTTCCCTCTCCTTTAGGAGGTTTGGAAGGGAGGGCTGTGATAAATATGGTGACTGCATGAAAGCAAAATATTTTTCAGTCAAATGTTCAAATCTTAACTCAAATTTTTCTGCAACTAGGAGCAAGGAAAGATGTAAGACTACAGATCAACATAGTATTGACTCAGAAACAAGTTTCTGGAAATCAGAGCTGTTTTACAATGAAGGCGGCTGCCTTGGGAGGCAATGAACTGCCCATCGTCGATAGGATTTCATGCAGAAACTGGTCAGTTGCCAGGAAATGCTTTCTCCAGTTCAACAGTTGTTAAGCACTTGTTGCATGCACATGTCTACATATTGAATGAGGATTCTTCCACTGGGTGGGAGGCAGGTTTTGGTACTCCCATGAGACCCATTCTAAGATTCTATAATTGTATGATTTTATCATATCTTGGATCAAAACTTTTTCACACAGGTGATAAGAACAGTTTCACCACTTTGTAATGTTTGATGTGAGACAGTATATAGTGCTTACAAGCTTAGCTTTTGGAGGGAAAGTGATCTGGGTTCAAATGCTAGTTCTGCCACAGAGAGCTGTGTGACTTTGGGCAAGTGAATTAACTATTCTGAACCTGTTTTTCCCAACTGTAAAGTGAGTCCTAATAAGTGAAACTACCTCATAATGTTGTGAAGATTGACGATCTACATAAAGCACTTAGCCTGTTTAGAACATGATACTCAATAAACGTTAACACTAGGCTTTACTGAGGTTGTCATTCTCAAGTCTTATACCTGACCTTTAGTTCTGTGATTCTAACTGCAGGAGACAAGAGTCTCCTTAATGCTCCTGAGAAGGATTTTGACACTCACACTTTGCATTGTTAGTGGTTATTTGTCCCAAGTGTGTCATTTCCTCTTTAAGCAATCAGTGACTTTCAGCAAGAATTCCATAATTTGTATTTTTTTCTGCCAAACCTTGCCCGAATCAGTACATACTTTTCCACCTATATACCATCCCAGTTCACCACAGTGACTGTCTCACAACTGAACCACTACACACCAGGGGCTACCAATACTTCACCCACCATCAGTGAGGGGGGGTTCCCATTGCCTCACGGTCAGTGGCCAACTCCAAAACTCACTCTAAGAGTCAACCTCCTAGGACAGCTCACAGCACCAAATGTCTTAAAAATCAGGTTCCCTATAGGAGAGCCTGACACAGGGATTCAGAGCCACATGATTGGTTGAGGGTATGTTCTTCAGGAAAAATGTTTACAGGAGGGAATGAAACAGGATCAAGAGGGCAAGAGCCAAGCATGGAGTCGCAAAGTCTAGCCTTAGCCTGATCCTCAAAGTGTGGGTTGGGGAGCAAAGACTAGACTAGTTTTCCCCTGCTTTAGGCAAGTGAATCAACCTTTTGTACCCCTAGATCAGTCAGTCAGTCAGTGGCTGGACTGGGGAGGGCAGATTAACTCCTGGATGCAGCAGCTCCTACCATCTGAGGCCAAGCCTCCAGAGTCTCTGCAGAAAGGAAGAGCTGTGAGCATTCAGTAGCCAAAACCCTGAGCAGCTTAGGGGGGTAGGTATGCCAGCCTGCCTAAGGGAATCTACCCAGGACACCAGTATATAACACAAACAAGTTTTTATTTGGTGTTTATTGTATGCTAGGCAGTCAGCAGTAGCAGGACTTCAGCAGTGCCAAAAGCTCTTTCCCTTTCTCTAGCAAACAGGCTCAGGCTAACCCTTTTTTTCCGTTTTCTTTTCCTCACAACTCCTACCCAGACCATGACCTCCCTGCTCCTAATTACTGTTTACTTTCAAATCCAGCTGCAGTGTAAACTGAAACTCATTCTACACGCCATTAAGCTACGGGGAAGGGAGATCTATCTCCAGAGCAACTGGGAACTAGTACACATACTGCTTGGACCACTCTTAATTCAAGTTGTTCCATTTCCTTCTATGGACGTAGCTGCCCTCATTCTTGTGGGTAATAGGAAGAAAAAAAAGGAGTCCATCGTTTGGCCTGTCTTCTTTTTATTCCCAAGGTCCCACTCCCCTCTCCTTAAGACATGACTAGCCAGCACAGTTTCTCCTGAATTGATAAACTTAACTCCTCTTTCTAATAGCTAACCAGATGCTAGTAGAATCAAAACAAAACAAAAAAGTAGTGTTTCATGGAGAAGTTGTACATTGAGTAAGACATCAAGAAACACATACCATTCAGCCTCTGAACCCCAATTTTGCCAAAATATAAATACCTTAAATCAATTTTTTCAAAGGATTTAATACTTATGATGGGGGAAAAAATGACTGGAGCCTTCTATTGGCTAAGATAATCATTTCTAGGGAAGGTTCACTGCTGAGGTACCAAAACGGGTATCATGCTGAAGAGTTCTCTTTCTTTACTTATAGTCTTCCCTGAATAGATAAGCTGTCAAACAAGACAGAAACTACAAATAAAGGTTATTTCTACTGTACTCATGAGGCTTTTCTCAGTGTCAATGTTCTGAGATTCAACTGAAGAATAAGTGCCATCTGAAGGTTTTCTTTCCTTCACCCAACATATCCATGGGTTCTCTTGTCTACATTCTCAAGTATGAAGATGCTAATGAAAGCATTTCTCCTTGGGAAAAGAAACACATTATCTCTTGTTCTCCAGTGTTCCTAAATTCTAACTGAAGGATTTCAACATATCTAGGTTTGATGGTTAAGCTGGAGAAATTGCTCGAAGTTTTTACTACATTCATTATAGGAGTAGGGTTTCTCTTCAGGAAGGCTTCTCTAAATTGAGTAAGAGCTGTGCTACAACAGAAACATCTACACACTTAAGGTATTTATGGAATCTGTCCTCTCATGACTTCTCAGATGTTTGAAGAGGCTACAACTCCAACTGAAACTCATTCCACATTCTTTACATTGAAAGGGTTTCTCACCAGTATGGATTCTCTGATGTTGATTAAGATGTGACTTCAGAGTGAAGCCTCTGCCACATTCATTACATTGATGGGATTTCATGTTGGAGTAGGTTTTCTGACGTTTTATGTGGGAACACTGGCCAACGTTTTCTCTGCAAGTATCACATTTACAGGTTTTCTCTGCAGTATGAGTTCTGTAATGCTGAATAAGGTCAGAACTGTAATTAAAGGCTTTGCCACATATATCACACTTATACGGCGGCTCTTGTAACTCAATCTTCTTATCTTCAATCACTGTTAAATTCCAACTATATGCTTCCTCACAAATACTATTTTTTTCATTTTTCTGACCCATGTGCAGCACCTGATGTTCAATGAGGCTAACATACTGAAAAAAGATTTCTCCACATTCATGACACTGATGGGACTTCTCTCTAGAATGAAGTCTCAGATGCCCAGCAAGGTGTGAACGCCTCCCAAAGCCCTTCCCACACTCATTACACTTAAAGGGTCTCTCCCCACTGTGCACACTCTGATGCTGAACAAGATGGGACCTCACTCTAAATGCTTTCCCACATAAATGACAGGTATAGGGTTTTTCACCAGTGTGGACTCGCTGATGTTGAGTTAGGTGTACACGCTGATTATAGCTTTTCCCACACTCATCACACCTAAATGGTTTCTCCCCAGTGTGTATTCGCTGATGTTGAATAAGATGGGCGCTCTGAATAAAGCTTTTTCCACATTCATTACATTTATGTGGTCTCTCTCCTGTGGAGGATTTTTTGTGGACATAGGTGACTTCACTGAAATTTATCCTCTTTGAAGAGGGTTGTCCTAGTATCTCTTTCATGGGAATTCCCTGCTTTCTATCCAACTTGCCTTCTCCAAAATCTTGAACTTGAGAAACATTTTTTGGGGTTCTTCCAGATAGTTCCATGTCTGCTTCTGAAAATTCTGAAATTTTCTTCTTAACATTCAATTTTGTATTCTTACTTCTTTTGTCACTGCCTGAAAAATAAAGAGGAAATGCCAATGTCATCAGTTCTTTTACAGAAGAAAAATAAACTGTCAGGAAAAAGAGGATAATCAAATGAAACTATGATGTAATAGGAGTAACAAAGGGGATGCATGTATGTACTTGATGCCAACAGGAATAAAAAGAACCTTCTGGTATTGTCCAGTGAAAAGAACAACACAAAGAAGAGGCTTACTAAGAAGGGTAGTAAGAATAGTTGAAGTTAGGCAGTCACAGGAATCAGCAAAACACTTTTATTATGTGGTAAGAAGAGACAAGAATTCTGAAACGGGAGAGGAGGCAGAAAATGTGGAAGGGGTAATGACCCGAACATGAGGTAGGCAGACAGAATGAGACAGAACAAAAATACACAAATTAGACGGTAAGAACTGACAAAAACTGGAAGAATGAAAAGCAAAGGGTTAGGAAGGGGATATGGAGTTAGAATACCTGATTAGGAGCTAAGGAAAAGGAGAAATGAGCCCGTATAACATATTGTCAGGAGGGTAGGTAATATATCAATCTCTGCTCTCTTCACCCTTAGCCAACACTCTAGCTTCAGTTTCCCTCCCAAAGCACCTGATATATCTCCTTTGGAAATGCTCATCACCTTTCATGTCTGCTACTCCCACCAGACCATCAGCTCCACGAGGGCATGAACTGCATCCGTTCTGTTTACTGCTGTATCCCAAGCACCCAGCACTAGAGGCTCTCAATAAATAGGGTTGAGCGTACAAAGTATCCCTCCTTTGATCAAAAAAAAAAAAAAACGGGGGGAGGTAGGTGAGTATTAACTAGAAAGCCAGTCATAAGAACAATTGCAGGGAAGATAAAGACACTATTTTAAAGCAATTGCTTTCTAAGACCAGAGACCTATTGGATGGATTTCCCCAGTGAGGCAGTCACCAACTAGAATGGGATAGAACTGGCTGAGGAGATAACTCAGCCCAACCCAGAACTTTCAAGACACTATGAACTGCCCTGGCCAGTGAGGCTCAGTTAGTTGGAGCACTGTCCTGTGCACAGAAGAGTCATGGGTTCTATTCCCAGTTAGGGCACATACCCAGGTTTTGGGTTCGATCCCCAGTTGCGGCGAGTATAGGAGGCAACTGGTTGATGTTTCTCTCTTATGTCAGTGTTTCTTTCTCTCTCTCTCTCCCTCTCCCTTCCTCTCTCTCTTTGGAATCAATGAAAAACATATCTTTAGGTGAGGATTTAAAAAAAAAAAAGACACTATGAACTACATAAACTTCTATTCCATGACAGAAGAGGTGGCAGTGACTGTTAATGTGAATGACAAGTAGCTGGGCTTGAGGACATCAAAGGAATAATTTTAAAATAAATACTTTAGCCAGTCGTGGAGTTTTCGGAACAGCACAGTTTACGGTAATCTCATCCTTTTATAATTCACTTTAGATAAGAAAGTAAGTAAACAAATAGGACAGTTATTCAACCATATTTGTAACCACATTAATGAAAATAAAAACAGCAAGGAATTCTCTTCTGCTTACTCAATTTGTTAAAAAAAATTTTGATAACCCCAGAAGGAATTTAATATAACTGATAATCTTATATGTGGTGTAACTGTTTTAAAAAGCAATTTAGCCCTGGCCGGTGTGGCGCAGTTTGTTGGAGCACTGTCCCATGCACTGAAGGGTCATGGGTCGATTCCTGGTCAGGGCACATACCCAGACTGCAGGTTTGATCCCCCCCCAGTTGGGGTGTGTATGGGAGGCAAATGATCAATGTTTCTCTCACACTGATGTTTCTCTCTCTCCCTCTCCTTACCTCTCTCTCTAAAATAATAAATAAATAAATAATAAAAAGCACT